GAAACAAAGTCAAATTCCAACTTCTTTTGAAGTTTACAAAGAGATGTTTTGTTGTTTGTGTGTAAGTAATATTTAAAGGTGCTCACATTTCTCAGAAACAGGAAGGAGAGGAGGTTTTGGAGTTTACTTGCTGCCAACTACAGCCTCAGCCAAACATGTGAGAACCATAATTGTCCTCTGGAAACGACTATTTAAGATCAAAGGGGTCTGTCCTCTACCCTGCTATTGTCATCTCCTAAAATAGGGAAAGATTTGTCAAAAAAAAAAAGAAAGCAAAACCAACAGGCGAAAAGAACCCACAAAAAACCAAGAACCCAAACCCTGATCCAACCCTGCAGATGGAATAGATTTAGCTTCAGAAGTCGTTAGTATATAACCCTGCTAGTTCCCATTCCCTCCTGTTCCAGCCTTCGCCACACCAACCTTTATCCTTATACAAAACTTCTTTCTTGTACATTCAATTAAGTAGTGATTCACACCACACGAGGGTATACTTTGGACTTCTGACTACTTATCTACATGTGTCCCTTTGCAGAGGATGAACTTTGTTTGGGGAGATGGTTTCGAGTCAAACTTTTGCTCAAGTTTCGTGGTTCCTATAGTACTCTGAAGTACTGAAGCTGTTCTTCTGGTGGTTCCAGAAGAATTGTCTTACCAATTGCAGTGAGACCACTAGGTTTGGTTACCCGCCCTGTCGTTCCCCCATGCAACAGAACCTTTAAATGAAAACACAGGTCTGGGCTGGGCATGGTGGCTCTAATCCCCCGCACTTCGGGAGGCTAAAGCAGGAAGATCACTTAAGCCCAGGAGTTTGAGACCAACACGGGTAATATAGCCTGACTTTCCACATCCAGCTAAATTTTCTTTTTCATTTTTGTAAAGATGAAATTTAGCTGGATGTGGTGGCAGGCACCTGCAGTCCCAGCTACTTCAGAGGCTGAGACGGAAGGATCTCTTAACCCCAGGAAGTTAAGGCTGCAGTGAGTCGTGATTGTGCCACTGTACTCCAGCCTGGGTGACAAGGCGAGACCCCATCTCAAAAAATAAAAACAAAAAGAAAACACAGGTCAGCATTTTATCCTATGTGACTTAGTATAATCACCTAAATGAAATGGTAAATGAACCAAATTGGATAAAAACACAATGACATCAACAAACCCAATGGCACCAAAACAGTTATGCTTTTGGGTGAAGTGCCCATTAGAGGCAATTTAACAGACTTTTGCTCCTTTACTCAGTAGGCAATTTAGCTGAGGAACTAGAGAGCACTTACAGAAAAAGATAGTAGAGAAATGCAGTGGCAGTGGGGTGGAGGGGGCGGTTCCCCGGTATGCCACTCTCTCACACAGTGGTCTGGAGCAAGCTGCTAAACCTCAACATGTCTGTTTCCACATCTGTAAAAGAAAGGGATATGAAGAAACAGTGCGGTGATGTCATGGGGAAGGAAATGAGTTAATACAAACTAAGCATTTTAGAAGAATGCCTAGCACATGGTAAGTACTTTGCTGGCATTGGCTATTAGAGTGTAGACCTTCACCACCATCCTCTTTTTCGAGACAGAGTCTTGCTCTGTCGCCCAGGCTGGAGTGCAGTGACACAGTGATGGCTCACTGCAGCCCCCCGCCTCCCAGGCAATTCTCCTGCCTCAGCCTCCTGAGTAGCTGGGACTGTAGTCGTGTGCCACCACACCTGGCTAATTTTTGTATTTTTAGTAGAGATGGGGTTGCACCAGGTTGGCCAGGGTGGTCTTGAACTCCTGGCCTCAAGTGATCAGTCTGCCTCGGCCTCCCAGAGTCCTAGGATTATAGGCGTGAGCCACTGTGCCTGCCCCCTCCTCTTTCAATAAAAAGATCTAATTAGGGTCATCTGACAGTGTCTCCGAATTTGTCACCAATTGATAATTGTTGTTTCAATATTCATGTGGGCTGGGCGCGGTGGCTCATGCCTGTAATCCTGGCACTCTGGGAGGCCAAAGCGGGCAGATCACCTGAGGTCAGGAGTTTGAGAACAGCCTGACCAACATGGTGAAAGCCCATCTCTACTAAACATACAAAATTAGCCAGCTGTGGTGATGCACACCTGTAACCCAGTTACTCAGGAGGCTGAGGCAGCAGAATCACTCAAACCCAGAAGGTGGAGGTTGCAGTGAGCCAAGTTTGTGCCATTGTACTCCAACCTGGGTGACAGATCAAGACTCTTTCTTTAAAAAAGGCCTGCCTATAATCCCAGAACTTTGGGAGGCTGAGGTGGCTGGATCACTTGAGGTCAGGAGTTTGAGACCAGCCTGGCCAACATGGAGAAACCCCGTCTCTACTGAAAATACAAACAAACAAATTAGTCGGGTGTGGTGGTGGTGGAGGTTGTAGTGAGCCAAAATCATGCCACTACACTCCAGCCTAGGCAACAGAGTGAGACTCTACCTCCCCCGCTCCACAAAAAAGGGGATAAAAATTCCCGTTCTCCGTGCACCTTGGGTAGTAATCCAAGCAACCCCCAAACCTGATTCTTCTGAATATTTCAATGGAAAAGCAGAATTATACAGAGCCATAATTTTCTATCTCGATTATTTTTATAGAGCAGCTATGGTACTTGAAAGGTCTCTACCACCTTTTGCCAGCCTTGCTCCCATTTCATCAGCCCCTCCAGGGGGCAGTGTAGTGGTAAAAATACTCCCAACAGCAGACATAGAAGGCAAAGACCATGGCACAAAGCCAAGGTGCAGGTGCCCACCCCATCATCACCACCCCAGACACTCTCCATCCCAATCTGTGTAAGGCAGTCACAGTGACCAAAGAAATACAAATACTCACCTTATGTTGAAGCGGTCTGTTTCAGGGGTAGGAGACCTCAGAGCAAGCACGGGTGGAGGGAGAGACGGAGTTTTGCTCTTCTCGCCTAGACTGGAGTGCAACGGCACGATCTTGGCTCACCGCAACCTCCAACTCCCAAGTTCAAGCGATTCTGCTAACTCAGCCTCCCAAGTAGCTGGGATTACAGGCATGTGCCACCATGCCCGGCTAATTTTGTATTTTTAGTAGAGAAAGAGTTTCTCCATGTTGGTCAGGCTGGTCTCAAACTCCTGACCTCAGGTGATCTGCCTGCCTTGGTCTCCCAAAGTGCTGGGATTACAGGCCTGAGTCACCGCGCCCAGTCTGGAGGGAGAGGATTTGCAAAGAACTGACAAGGTTCTATTTCAGTAATGGTCATGGGGTATCCATTTTATAATTATTTAAACTGTTTTCATGTTCTTATTTTTTTTCACTCTGCCTCTCCCCTCTTTTGCATGCTTTATATACTTTTAAATGTATATATTTCAATAATTAAAACAATTGTTTTAAATAAAATAGGAATATGCTGTGTGATCTTAGGGTTATTTTTCCCCAGAGGATAAGGCAAAGAGCAAATGACATCTGGGAGGACAAATAACCTACCCAAACCTAGGAAAAGCTGTTGCATTCCAGCATGTGTCCCTGTGTTCTGCCAGCTCGGCCCACTCCTGTGACCTTTTTAAATCCAGCACATTATCATAAATAAGCACACACAAACATCAACTAATAATTTCAATTTTTAATAATGGAAACAATTTTGCCATTCTAGAAACAATGTTAGGGGAGAAAAATCTTCCCTACAAAAATAAACCCATCAAAATTATAAATATTATAACATTTTACTTCTGCCATTTAAAATGCTCTCCTGCAATACGACCCCTTCATTTAACATCTTTCCTGTACCATCACATATTGAAGAGAAAACAGTATTACAGCAAAGCTTAGATAGTTTAACATAACGATTTGTACAATGATTCTTAAAAAATCTTTGGCCTTAGTGGCCTTTTTACTTCACTTAGACATTAAAAATGCTGCTGCAATTACCAGTGTTTGGGAAAAAACATCAGTCTTCAAGAAACATGAACTGACAGAATTTCAATACAGTAAGTTTCCAAATTGCAATTTGTAGTGCACATGACAGTGAGCGAGGTTCTGGATAAATACAGATGAGGATGCCTAGTTAGACAATCTACTTCAAGTAAAAAAAAAAAAAAAAAAAAAAAAATTCACAGATACCCATCAGCTACTATTTTAGGTTCTAACAGTGTCTTAATCTGAGAAACAAATGCCTCACAAAATGTAAGTTTACTTGGATGAATAAGTAAAAAACCAGGTGGCTGCTAAAACCCAGGCCACAGTCTGAGTAGTAAAACCAGTATAAAAATCAAAGGCATTCCCTGAACAATAAAGGTAAAGTGTTAGATGACAATGTCACTAAAACCTCATCAATGTACTACAGAGAAGTTACATGCAAAATTAAATAAGATGTGCCATACATATTTTATAGCTGCTAATTCTATTTTTTTTTTTCAACTTTCCTTAAATGCTTAGGAAGATACGATTGTCTCAATAAATTGTGTGGCACAGCATAACAACTTAAGTCTGCCTCCAACAAGATGGGTATTCTCTGAAAAGTCAGAAGAGCCACCAAGAGAGGAACAGAAATGCAATAAAAGGCACGGTTCACTTAGGCAAAGAACTGAAGCACCTTGGAATTTCAAAAAGAATCCATTAGGTGTCACCAAAGTGTTAACAATTCCTTGGGAATTTATAAACAAAAAATATCTAGACTAAAAATAGAATATAAGGCCCCTCTGGAACCACTGCACACCTTTCCCTCTGTTCTCAGATTAAACTGCTGCATAAAATGAGGTTATTTAGCTTGTTTTAAGGAAGGCTTCTATTGCACCTGTAATTTCTTTGGTTGGTAATAACATGTACTTTCGTTACAATATTTCCATAGTGAAGTCCTGTTGTGTGGTTAGCTGGGTATGGACGTTCCTCCGTTTCTTGGGGCCCTCCTACTCACAGTCAAGTTGTCCTTTAGAACAAAAGATTTGGTAGGACTGGGTCTTTATTCAATAGCCCCGTTCTACATTATGTAAGAACAGATTTCAATGTAGAAAAGAAAGGGAGAAGAGGGAGAGGGAGGAGAGGGAAGGAGAAGGGTGGGGAGAGAGAAAAAAGGGAAGAAAAAGGAAAGGAGGAATAAAAGGGACGGGAGTGATTGTCACAAAAGTTTACTTGATAAATATCCTAGCTAACAATCAAGGGAAAAACAACCACCCCTACCAAAATTCCATCTCCACTTTGAAAACCACCTGTGGGGGGGAAACTATATACTGTATGTAACTTAACAAGAGTTAGCGAATGGTGACTGTCCTGCCTATGCAGTGAAGCTACACCAATGAGACCTTCCACTCCAAAGGGGCAGAAGTAGCGGGTCGGTTCCAGCTGCGTGAGGCCCACGTCTGCCCAGGACGGCAGGCTCCACCTGCCCGAGTCTCCGGTCCCTCTGTCTGTTCTAGCTTTTGCCTCTGGCTTTGTTCCCACATTTTACCCACCAGGAAACCAAGAGATTCTAAAATGGGTTTAACATCTCAACACCGAATGCGTTTAACTCGTTTATAAGCAACTACCCCTTTCTCCACTACACCTAACTGAAAAGCCAAGTAACCTTCCACAGCCCACAGCGCTCGCCACCACGCCACACACCTTCTCCAAACTTACTCTTTCCTCTCTGTCAACCCCCAACAAAATCCTTCACAATAAATTCCTCAGAGTTCCTAGATTCCTGTGCCTTTTGATTCACACGGATCGATTCCTCTGACATTAAAAAAAAAAAAAGAGAGAGACAGGTAGTTTCAAAACAGGACAAATATTCAGAAAGATAGACTCCTAGTTAAGCTTTTTAAAAAATCATCTGCACATCCATAAGCTTAACAGCATCACATAATTAAAATAACTAAAAGAAAATTTAAAAAAACACCCCAGAGTTCATGCTTCCAAGCACCCTCGAATGCTCCTGATGAGGCTACAGGTTCACAGCTTGCCAAGAGGTAACACTGCGATGCTGAACAACAAGCTTGCAGAGTCCCTTACGTGAGACACTAGGTGCAGGATGCTGTGTGACCAGATTTGGGGAACAAAATCTACAGATTAAAAGGGGAAGACCCTAGCATACCGGGGCAAGACAGCAGCCCTCTGAGAAGAGAGGCTCTTGGTGCTGTTCTGTGGGTCCGTCCCACATGGGGCCTCGAGGACAGGGAGCCCTGCTTTAATCAGGCTTCCACACCTCACGGAGGGCCTCTTCCAGCTTGTGTCTGTAGGCTGCGTAGCGCTTCTTCAGGTTCTGCAGCTGCTCATCTTCTTCCTTGTCCAAGATGCGCAAGAAATTCTGGAGCTCTGGCAGGCTGAAGGCTTCCCACTGTCAGCAAACACAGGAAGAAAAACTCCAGGTGTTTAAAGCTCAGTCAGACTTGGGAGTGCTGACCGGGAGCTCCTGGAGGTGCAGCTGCCCCCTCCTCCCAGCACCATGCCGCAGAAGGTGTGGTCTGCAGGAGCTGGGGTGCTGCCAGCCTAAGGACTCCATCCACTTGCCCTCGGTTCACAGCCAACACTTCCCACCCTCTCCTCCCACTGTTCTTCACGACGGTCTCCCTAAAAGCCACAGACCTCCGTATCCCTAAGTCTATTAGACACTTTCATTCCTCACCTGATTTGCCCCCAGCAGTATTAAAAAGAACTCAACACTCTTTCCATATTAACCTTGAGTCTTCATTGTAACTGACTTCTTTCTTACCTCGTGTAATCAATCGCATCACCCCCAAACAGTTCTCCACTCAGCCTGCTTTTCTCTCTCTCTACAGCCCCTTGGTGTTAGCTACCATCATCTATTCCTGCATCACTGGGAAAGCTTCTTACCTGGCCTCCTCACTCCACTCTCAGGCTCCCCAGTCTGTTCCCCAAACAGAACAGCCTTTGTAAAATGCACATGTGGTCAAGACTCTCCCCTGCTCAGAACCATCCAGTGGCTTCCCTTAGTCGCTGAGGCTAAGTCTGAAAGACTCTAAACTCTCCGGCCCCATCTCTCTCTCACTGAGCCTCACTCTCTACCCAAGTGGCATGCGTTCTACCCTTCTCCACTTTGCCTGGCTACGAACTACTAATCCTCCCCATCTCAGCTAAAACGCCACTTTCTCTAAGCAGCTTTCCACAACTTCCTCCCCTCTCTTCCCACCCAGGACTAAGCGTATCAGAAGGCTTCAGAGAACCTGATCACAACGAAGATTTTTAAATTACAATGAATTGCTTAGTATCTATTTCACCTGCACCTTACCCACACTACAGCTGCCGTACTTCTTGCTATTTGGAGTTTATCTCTTGCCTTGAGGCTCTGAGCCTTGTTTCCCTAACAGCACCTAGTACTTATATAGCAGGTACAAAATAAAATCTTTTAGGTGGCATGGTGGCTCATGCCTATAATCCCAGCACTTTGGGATGCTGAGGCAGGAGGATCACTTGAGCCCAGAAGTTCAAGACCAGAAGTTCAAGACCAGCCATGGCAATATAGTGACACCCTGTCTCTACAAAAAGTTTAAAAATTAGCTGGCTGTGGTGGCACACTCCAGCTACTCGAGAGGCTGAGGTGGGAGGACTGCTTGAGCCCAGGTGTTTGAGGCCGCAGTGAGCCATGGCTGCACTACTGCACTCCAGCCTTGGCGACAGTGCAAGACCCAGTCTCTTTAAAAAGAATGAATGAATGAATAAATAAATAAATAAATAAATAAATAAATAAAACAAATTTAAAAAAAATAAAAGCCGGGTGCGGTGGCTCAAGCCTGTAATCCCAGCACTTTGGGAGGCCGAGGCGGGTGGATCACGAGGTCAAGAGATCGAGACCATCCTGGTCAACATGGTGAAACCCCGTCTCTAATAAAAATACAAAAAATTAGCTGGGCATGGTGGCGCGTGCCTGTAATCCCAGCTACTCAGGAGGCTGAGGCAGGAGAATTGCCTGAACCCAGGAGGCAGAGGTTGCGGTGAGCCGAGATCGTGCCATTGCACTCCAGCCTGGGTAACAAGAGCGAAACTCCGTCTCAAAAAAAAATAAAATAAAATAAAAAATAAAAAAATAAAAAAATAAAAGCAGTGAATGTCAAGAAGTGTATCTAGCATCATCTAGAAGGTTTCTTCCAAACACATCCTATTCTCCCAAAGTGGGCCCTGGATCCTGGCTAAGAATTGCTCTTGGATGGGGTAGGGAAAAGGCTCAAGATAACCAAACACAACTGAACAGAGAAAGTAAGTAAAACCACGTGGGCTCCATGGTAGAAGAATTTCTGGAGATGAATTCAGGCTGGTTATTAAAGAAAATGAGCAACATGGAGTAGGAGAGCAAAACTTCTACATTAGAATATTCTGTTAATTTAAAAATTTTTAACATTTTATCTTTCACCAATGTTGAAGTCTCCAAAAGAAAGACATCATATAAATATCCCTCCTACCCCCTAACAGCTATGGAAAGTTTCTTCCTTCAGTTCAGTTTGCCTTCAATAACTGAAAAACAAGAACACCATACAGAGATCCAGTACAGCAGTCTGGGACGACGAACTCCACTAGAAACCCAATGTAAAGTAAATTTCAAAACTAAAGTTAAGGCCAGGTGCAGTGGCTCACACCTGTAATCCCAGCACTTTGGGGGGCTCGGGTGGGAGCATCGCTTGAGCCTAGGAGTTTGAGACCAGCTTAGGCAATGTAGCAAGAGATCCTATCTCTAATTATAATTGAAATAAAATAAGACACGAATAAAATTCTTGTCCAATGTAGTTCCAGTTGCTACTTAAAACACTAAGTACAAGAAAAATGAAACACTGACTAGACTATGCTAATGCGTCTGGCTTCAGCAGGCAGAGGAATGCTGCCCAACTGCAAAGCCAAGTCAGACTTCTGCACCCTGCCTGCTCCCCAAAATGAGTCTGAATTTCTTGAAAAGCTTCAAAACACCAGAATCGAAAGAAACTTCGAAAACATCTAAAACCACTGTCTTCCTAAAACTCTCTTCACTTACATGTATACATTTCTAATTGGGACTAGAAGCCACCTTGTAAACTGTTTAGTCCCACTTAACAGATTTTAAAACTGAAGGCTAAAAGATGAGAAGATTCACCTGAGGTCAGGCGCCTCATCTAACAGAGTAGGAAAGAGAGTCATTTTCCTAACTTTTAACCTAGAAGCCGTATTCTCAACTGTACCATGCAGGACATTTCATACCACTTCCTGTTCCAGACAGAAGACTGGGGCAGGAGCTTGGATGTGCTCAAGTGTCATTTAGAGCTGACACTTGATCTGGAGGGCAGGTTCAAGTGCCTTCTTTCTTCTACTGAACTGGCTACATACAATCCTCCCTGGAGACAACATGGCAAATGATGCACATGGAAACATAATTTCTTAATTGACTGACTGGGCGAGGGGGAAAAAAAGATTCTAGAAAGCTAAATGTCTTCCATGGTAAAGAGATCGGATTTCCTTTTATTTCCCTTTAGAAGGGAATTAGCCTGGAGACTTTTGTTAGTAGCAAACACATGGAAAGTGTCAACTTTCAAAGTTCAGCAGGACTGGAGTATTTTGGAGGTTGGAAGGGGTGAAAATGACTCTCTGGATTGGAGATCAAGTAAAAAATATTTATTTTCTCCCACATCTGAAAATGACAGACTAATAGAAGGTTGTGAGAGATTAACATCGTAGGCTAACTTTGGGTTCATTTCCGACGATTCACAATCTCTCTTCCTCTTCCTGCCCTCCAACTCTCCTCTCTCCCCATCCCCCACCAACAGCCAAGTCACTAGGCTACCGCAATAAAGTAGGGCCAGCTGTTCTGTATAGTTTAAAGCAATAGTCAACAATAACTTACCTCTCCAATTTCATGTTCACGAAGAACAAAACTAAGTGTGTCTGTTCTGGGGCCTGCTACCAAACGCAGGTAGAGTGGATGTTCCCGGTCTGAGAGCTTGCAGGCGTAGACTGGGTAAGGAACAAGCAGCATGTTAGAGTATTCAGCCATTCCTGAGACCACGCCCCCATTCGATCCCCTCCTCCAGGTCAAGGTAACCATCACTTTACCCCAGCCTCCAAGTCACCAATAAGCTCATCTCAGTATTTAACACCAGTAGCCCACAGAGGAATGAAATCTATTCTGTTTCTCTTCAAATAGAAACTATGCCTTAAGGAAGAAATTATTTTCAAGAACAAATTTTAATAGGTATTAGTCCCCAAATATGCTTATGGTTAGCTCTGCTCTTCCTTTTAGAAAACAAGTACTCCCAGCAATTTGGGAGGCTGAGGAAGGCAGGAGTTTGAGACCAGCCTGACCAACATGGTGAAACCCCATCTCTACTAAAAATACAAAAAATTAGCTGGGCATGGTGGTGGGCGCCTGTAATCCCAGCTCCTGGGGAGGCTAAGGCAAGAGAATTGCTTGAACCTGGGAGGCAGAGGCAGCAAGGCTGCAATTAGCCGAGATCATTCAATTGCTCTCCTGCCTGGGCAACAAGAGTAAAACTCCATCTCAAAAAATAAATTAATTTTTTTAAATGGGAGGAAAAAAAAAAAAGAAAACAAGGTAAGAAACCTAAAAAAGGGTCTACAACTCCTTTAAAAACAATATAAATAGGCCAGGCATGGTGGCTCGCACCTATAATCCCAACACTTTGGAAGGCTGAGGCAGGAGGATCACTTGAGGCCAAGAGTTCAAGACTAACCAGGGCAACATAGCAAGGCCCAGTCTCAAAAAAAAAAAAAAAAAAAAAACTCTAATTAGCTGAGCATAATGGTGCCCCCCTATAGTCAGTCCTAGCTCCTCAGGAGGTTGAGGCAAGAGGATCACTTGGGCCCAAGAGTTCAAGGTTACAGCGAGCTATGATCGTGCCATTGTACTCCAGCCTAGGCAACAGAGTAAGACGCTGTCTCAAAAACAAAAACCAAGGCCGGGCATGGTGGCTCACACCTGTAATTCCAGCACTTTGGGAGGCTGCGACAGGCAGATCGTCTGAGGTCAGGAGTTTGAGACCAGCCTGGCCAACGTGGTGAAACCCCGTCTCTACTAAAAATACAAAAATTAGCTGGTCATGGTGGTAGGCACCTGTAATCCCAGCTACTTGGGAGGCTGAGGCAGGAGATTCGCTGGAACCCAGGAGACAGAGGCTACAGTGAGCCAAGACCATACCACTAGGCAACAGAGCCAAGACTGTCTCAAAAAACAAACAAAAACCAAATGAAAAACAAAAATATACCATCCAAAGAACATAAAATCAGAGTTCTAGAAGCAAATCTCTCTACAGATTAATTAAGAATTAGCTATCAGAATACAAGCTCTGGTAGCTTCAAGCACAGCTGTATGTCTGATGCTAGAGACACACACTCACACACCTCTCTCTCTCTCTCTCTCGCTCTCGCTCTCTCTCTCTCTCTCTCTCTCCCCGCCTCCCCGCTCTCTGACACTGCCAATAGTGTTGAAGGATTTGCCAGCCATGGGGGGGGTAGTATTTCAACAAGTCACCATTACTTTCAGATTGTACAGCTGAAGTCTAGGTGAGCAGACAAAGAAACTGGCAGATAAAAATGCCATCGAGCCTCTCTACATTATGATGGCACTTCTAGAGGCACCGCATTGCAGGTGCCAATCTCCCTGTAGATATAAATTTCCCCCACACCACTAAGCTTGTGGCCACTGGAGGTAGGAACCCTGGCCTGTTCATCTTTGTATTCCACGAGGTCTAGCCCCATGGTATGTTTTTAAAAAGATGTATGCTCAGCAATTAGCTGGGCTGCATCCTGTGTAACTGAAGAACACTACTATCATGTCCAGGTTAATACAGTTTATTGTATAGCTACATTAGGCTTTACCCAGAAAATCTAAAGAAAGCTTAAATAGTTTATTGTACACACACATATACACACACACACACACACACACACACACACACACACACACACACACCCCGATTTCAAAGTGGATGTAGGGATTCACTCCTCTCCACCACTGGTATCAATTTCTGGTCACTGCCTGACCTGGAATATCTCATTCCGTTTTCATTCAGTAATTTATTATTCTGTTTCTACTCCATGAATGTGGGTATGAAGTTTAGTCAGACCCTAGATCAAAATGTTATTCACTCCTTTTTTGAGCCTCTGGGGGACAGAGTACCAAAATGTCCCAACGTAATGGCAAGTGAGACAAGCTAAGGAAACAGGAGAGCCCAGGGCTGGGCCATTTCCATCAGTACGCTGAAATGCGCTGTGATACACAGGTGCCTCCCATCCACAAAGTCTCAGCAAGCACAGGTCCACCGAACCACTCCATGTACCAATGCACATCAAATATGGAATGTGCTACTGAAAACTTCAAGCACAGAGGCACTCTTTTGTGTCCTAAAGAAAATTAAAATCAAAGCCACTCCTCTTAATGATAAAAAACAGCCCCCACCCCATCCCCCCCAACACAAAATACTCTGTAACTGTCCATCAAATATGAATGCTTCTAAGCTCCTCAGACCCACAACTGTCCAACTCAAAAATCTGGACATCCAGGAAGCACTAAGTGCATGCTAAGATCACCATGGCTTCCAGCATCGGACTCCAGGCTCTGACACAATCGACACGGATGAGACCCACCAGGCTTCCCTCTGCTAATGAGAACAACAGATGTAAGTAGAAGCAGAGACCATTTTCCCTTTAAGCTGGCAGCGTACCTTGGTCTTCCCTGTGACAACGCTTATAAAGTGCAAACTTGGCAGGGCTCTCAGTCACGAGAAACTTTTTGAGCAGGGCCTCGATCACTTCCCCGACAGTGTTTGTGCTGCTGATATGAAGTGTGTTCATACAGCCATTGCTACTGGGAGAGAGTTTGCCAGAGTTTGGAGAAGTCTGTGGAGATTTGCAGAGTTCCATCTGTACTTTAATGAAGCCAGTGTAAATCCCATTTGAATTCTGAAGCAGAGAGAGAAGCACACACTTAGCTGGGTGGATGGTGGCACTTCAGGGAGGGAGCATATCAAAACAAAATGGGAAGGTGAAACGCTCCTTTGTTCTCTTCTCTTAGAGGTTTGTGGCAGAACTTCACTAAAGACTGCCCCCAAGGGAATGACCTCAGAGAGCAGTTAACACACCAGGCAAAGTGCTTCCAGAGGCAAGGTCTGCAGGGCAGATGTGGTGACTCAAGAAGCCTCCTGATGTTGTGGCTGACTGCTGGCCCCAGGCTCATGCCTCTGAAGCTACTGACAAAAGGTCAGGGTCCACTTGCGAGGCCAAACCACAAAACTTACTAAAGCTTGGGGGATATGTCTAGGCTACAGGCTCAAAAGAAACAAGGTCCTCCACTGATGACTATTATACACACAAAAAAGGTCACAGTTAGGGCTCTGAGATACTGAAGTCAACAATGAGGGGACAGTAAGAAAACAGTCTCTTTTCATTCCTAGTGACTATGTTCATATGCACTGAATTACCAACTTTGCTTAAACTTTTTTTTTTTTTTTTTTTTTTTTTTTTTTTGAGACGGAGTTTCGCTCTTGTTACCCAGGCTGGAGTGCCATGGCGCGATCTCGGCTCACCGCAACCTCCGCCTCCTGGGCTCAGGCAATTCTCCTGCCTCAGCCTCCTAAGTAGCTGGGATTACAGGCACGCACCACCATGCCCAGCTAACTTTTTGTATTTTTAGTAGAGACGGGGTTTCACCTTGTTGACCAGGATGGTCTCGATCTCTCGACCTCGTGATCCACCCGCCTCGGCCTCCCAAAGTGCTGGGATTACAGGCTTGAGCCACCGCGCCCGGCCTGCTTAAACTTTTTAATGCAGCATATATGCCATCCAGCATAGGATGCATTTTAGGTCTCTTAAGCAGCATTTTAAAAACAAATTCAATCTCCCGAAGTCAGGAGGCAGAGGTTGCAGTGAGCCAAGATCGTGTCGTTGTACTCCAGCCTGGGCAACAGAGTGAGACTCCATCCCTGCCCCTGCTCCCGCCAAAGAAAAAAAAAAAAAAAACAGTCAAGCCACTATACTTCACAGTACAGATCTTAAAAACAACTTCATTGATGGCAGAATTACTATTTGTTAGTTGCCAAAAACAGTAAAAACAGACTGGTCTTTGCATTTTGTTGTTGTTGTTGTTATTCAGTATATTTGGGGCCAAGCGAAGTGGCTCTCGTCTGTAACCCCAGCACTTTGGGAGGCCGAGGCGAGCAGATCACTGGAGGTCAGGAGTTCGAGACCAGCCTGCCCAACATGGTGAAACCCCATCTCTACTAAAATTTAAAAAAAAAAAAAAAATTAGCTGGGCGTGGTGGCGGGTGCCTGTAATCCCAGCTACTTGGGAGGCTGAGGCAGGAGAATCTCTTGAACCCAGAGCGGGAGGCTGCAGTGGGCCAAGACTGCACCACTGCACTTTAGCCTGGGCAATAGAGCAAGACTCAGTCTCAAATACAAACAAAAACAGCATATTTAGAAAAGATTTATTATAGTGTTTTATTAAAATGAATTGTCAAGTGTTATATATAAATAGCAATTAAAGTAGAACATTTAAAATCACTTTTATGGTGGGTTATTTTTCTTCCTTCCCACAAGATCAATTTTCAAACCCAATTCTCTTGTTGATTCTTTGTTTTTGTTTTTGTTTTTGTTTTTTTCTTTTTTTAAGACAGGGTCTTACTCTGTCGCCCAGGCTGGAGTGCAGTGGCATGAAACAGCTCACTGCAGCCTCAACTTCCTGAGTTCAAGTGATCCTCCTGCCTCAGCCTCCAGTAGCTGGGGCTGCAGCTGCCCGCCACCACATCTGGTTAAATTTTGCATTTTTAGTACAGACAGGGTTACGCCATGTTGACCAGGCTGGTCCCACCTTGGCCTCCCAAAGTGCTGGGATTACAGGTGTGAGCCACTGTACCCAACCTAAAATTTTTATCTTTAAAATGATATGGATATTTGTGTCTGTTTTAATCTCTACGGGGAAAGAAGAAAAAAAAAAAAAAAAACATAGGAAGTGAAATTCTCCTTTGATGAAAAAAAGAAATCTTGCTGCTGGAATGATTAAGAGTTATCTTGGGATTCTCTGCCCCTCTCCCTTCTTTCTAGAGCAGTTCCACCAGGGAGGGGGTCCTTTACCAAAAGCGTTTCTATCTGAAAGCTCCTCCCCAAGAATCACCGGATTCAGTAGGGCCTGTTTTAAACTGGTCACCCTGTCCTTTACCAAACTCCATCATTTTCACAGTGAACAGACTGAGAGAGAGGGGTCCAAGTGCCCTGGAAACTGGCACCAAGGACTGACAAGTGCCATGAAGAAGGCGGAACACCCAATGGGTGGGTGAGACCTAGACGCCAACTCAGTTTAGAGGAACATGAATACTCTAGCTTTGCTGTCAGCTCCTGTTTCCCTGTCACCAGGCCCTGAGCCTTCTCCCTCCTGTACGCCCACTCTCTGTGTGCTTCCAACAGTGTGGTGCAATGCTGTGGAAGCGTGGGACGACGACGTGGAGCAAACTGAGTATTAAGTACCTCATCTTACGCTAACGACTGGCAGAGAAAAATATCCTACTATGTACCTCTATATTCCATTCCGTGGGCTCAAAATCCTTTCCCTGACACTTCCATATTTATTTTGTACAAGACAAAAACTTAAGGGCTTCTGACACCTGTAATCCCAGCACTTTGGGAGGCCAAGGAGGGTAGATCACCTGAGCCAAGGAATTTGAGATGAGCCTGGGCAACATGGCAAAACCCCATCTCTACAAAATATACAAAAATTAGCTGGCAATGGTGGCAAGTGCCTGTGGTCACAGCTACTTGGGAGGCTAAGGTGAGAGGATCACTTGAGCCTGCAGCTCGAGGCTGCAGTGAGCCACAATCGTGCCACTGCACTCCAGCCCAGGTGACAAAGCAAAACCTTGTTTCAAAAAAAAACCCTTATCTGAGGTCTTGTTAGAATCTGAGTCACTATTTCTGTATGTTAGGCAATGCTGCTAAAAATCATTTGGGGAGGAAGGGGTGGGTCACAAAATCTTTTAAAATAAAATTATAAGCATTTCATTTTTTTAAGGGTAACCCAGCAACTGATTTTTGAGACAAAGCTACTTCAAAATACAGATTTAAATTGAAAGCCATGGAAATATTCCATTTTCCTGTTCTGTAGACCTTGACTATTACACTTCTACAAATGTTATTCAGATATTTAGAAATATAGATTATAATACCAACAACTTACATTTGTCTTGTGACAGGTGTCAACGTAAACAGTATTATGGGTACTTACCAAGGTCATCTTCAACTTGTCTGTGACTGCTAAGTTGTATTTATGAACTTTCTCTTTGATCTCCTCTTTGCTGAGGTAACTGTGGGTTTCCTTCTCTTTCTCAACATCCTAGAAGAAAAACAAGACACGCCACATGTGAGCAATCACAGAAAAAAATGAGGACAGGTCGAGTGAGGTGGCTCATGCCTGTAATCCCAGCACTTTGGGAGGCGGAGGCAGGCAGATCACCTGAGACTCAAAGTTCAAGACCAGCCTGACCAACATGGAGAAACTCCATCTCTACTAAAAATACAAAATTAGCCAGGCGGGTGACACATGCCTGTAATCTCAGCTACTCGGGAGGCTGAGGCAGGAGAATAGCTTGAACCAGAGAGGCGGAGGTTGCGGTGAGCTGAGTGGGGGGAATAAGTCAGGATTCTTTTTCAATTCCACACAAGGCCCAGGCATGATGGCACATGCCTGCAATCCCAGCACTTTGAGAGGTCAAGCAGGGCAAAGCTTTAGCCCTGGATACTGAGACCAGGCTGAGCAACATGTTGAAACTCTATCTCTACAAAAAATACAAAAATTAGCTGGGCATGGTGGTGTGCACCTGTAGTTCCAGCTACTCGGGAGCCTGAAGTGGGAGGATCACCTCAGCCCAGAGGTCGAGGCTGTAGTGAGCCATTAATTGTGCTGTGCTGTAGTCTGGGTGACATAGTACAACCCTGTCTCCAAAAAATAAATAAATAAATTACATCCCACACAAGAACGACCTTGCTGTTCTTGCATATTACCTTGAAACACACACACACTCTCCCTCTCTCCCTCACTGCTTCCCTTTCTCTCTTTCAAACTCTCCAGGGTCATCCACCAATTATGGGAGTTCTCATTCTTTCAGATTACAGTCTCCCTAGGGGATATACTAAAAAAAAAAAAAAAAAAAACTAATTTGTCAGCAGCTAGTAGTAACACTTCATTACCAATATTATTCTGCAAAACTGTCATTGCTAAATTTTTCTGCAAAAACATCATTTCCTCAGCGTGCCTGTTAGAGTGGCCATTTCTATTTTAAACAACATTTAAAGACATACAGCACAAGTTTCTCTGTAGCAAACTGTATTAACTCTGTTGTCTTTACAGCTTTACAGTATTTATCAGCAAAAAGCACAGCAGTTAATATTAACTGGCACTACTCATGGACTCACCATAATCCCTGATCTGTCAAACTGTACACAACTACCAGAGAGTAATTCATCTTCCAAACAAATCCCCAGGCCAAGATACAAGTAGTCAGACTTCTCCTTCCCACTCCCCCAACCTCCCCACCCTTCCAGTCTCACGCACCTCTCTACCTCCCCATACTCTACAGCAGGCGTCCCCAGACTTTTTACACAGGGGGCCAGTTCACTGTCCCTCAGACCGTTGGAGAGCCGCCACATACTGTGCTCCTCTCACTGACCACCAATGAAAGAGGTGCCCCTTCCTGAAGTGCGGTGGGGGGCTGGATAAATGGCCTCAGGGGGCCGCATGCCATGGGCCGTAGTTTGGGGATGCCTGCTCTAGAGGGAGAAATATGGCTTAAATCCTCTTCTCGCTGTGAAGAATTTATCAATAATTATGTCTAAAGAGTCCCACCAGCATATGACATTATACAGCAGCAGACGTGATCACAAATGACCAAATTACAGCGTTCTGTCACCCTGATGGAGTACCTAACTTGTATCACCTTTACTTCTCCCAACAACCTAATCAAGGAGGCATTACTACGCCAGTTTCAGTAAATTAAACTGCTGGGGGAAAATTGTAACTGTTCAGTGAAAGCAAATGAAAGCCTGCTAACCCTAACTCCAAACGAGCTCTAAGTACTTCCACAGGGGTGTTCTCATTTAATCCTCCCAACAATGAGCTCATTCATGCTAATTAGCACCCCCATGTTACACGTAAGGACAGAAGATTTACAGAGGTCAAGCAGTTTGTCCAAGGACAACCCAACTAGTTGAGAGACCCAGTTCCACTTTAATCCAAGTGCTCTAGGGTGCTCCCACTCAATCCAATCCATGGGTCTGACGTGGGCAAACATTTAAACACGTACAGAAAAACTGCATAATCAGCTTCAAAACAAAGAGAGGAAGAACAGTTAAAATCTAACGATTTAGGCCTGCAAAATAAAGCCTTTGTAAACATGCCTCTTTCTGCCAGACACATCACAGCATTCTCACAGCTGGATATTCTCCAGGCAGGCACTGGTTCCCATCTGCCCACTGGAAGCCAGTGTCATAAATACACCAGAGGGGCTACTACAGAACTTGCATCAGGACCACAGAGAACGAAATGGCTCTGGATCCATTCAAGCCTCAAGATCTCTGACTTTAGATCTTAAGAGGGGTGTGCTGACTACAAATTATCTCAGTAACTTTTCAATGTCAGCACCATCCTGGTGAAGTCTAACAGGTCAGTATACTGGGAAATACTGGATAAATACCAGCACAAGATAATATGTTTATTCCCTAGTACCAGGGGTAGGCTTTGAAGTCCCTTGGGAGCATCCTATTAGCCAATGTAAAACCCCAAAGTAATCTTATTTTTGGTATTACTGTTTGGTGGAGGGAAAGCTGTGGATTAAAATAAGCTTTCAAAAGCTCCAGTGACTACTTCCAAGGAAGTGTTTTGTTTTGAGACAGGGTCTCACTTTATCCCCCAGATTAGTATGCAGGGGTGTGATCACAGCTCACTGCAGCCTCAACCTCCTGGGTTCAAACAATCCTCCCACCTCAGTCTCCTGAATAGCTGGGATTACAGGCATGTACCACTGCGCCCAGCTAATATTTTGTAGAGAATAGAGATGAGGTTCTATGTCGCCCAGCTGCTCTCAAACTCCTGGGCTCAAGCAATCATCTCACCCTAGCCTCCTAATGTGTTGGGATTACAGGTATGAGCCACTGCACCAAGCCCCAAAGAAGTTTTAAACATGTGTCACATCTCTGCTTGTCTTGCTCTTACCAATCCACAATTAGCTGGGTACCAGTCATAGCTGAAGAAGAAAATTAGGCATTCTTGGCTTGTACATTCAGTTTTAACTGTCCAAAGACTCTTCAAAGCATATGTTAAAAAGTGTACAATAAGGACCTACGATCTCATGGACGTGGGATAGGTGGTTGGCGGGGCAAAGGAGTGTTAGAGAAAGCGCACCACATCTGCAAGACTCTGGCTCCAGTCCTCAGGCTGTCACCAACTAATGCTATACCTTTCTGAGCCTGTTCCCTCATTTTCTACAAAACAAGGAACTAGAGTTCATCACCTCCTCTAAGATGCTTCCTCGCCTAGGCTGATCTGATTGCAAAGATGTGGAGGTGCTTTCACAGGTGTCACCAGGTCTAGGACAATCTGATTGAAAAGATCTGGTGCTGCTTTCACAGGTGTGACCAAGGGGGCCAAAGGGTTCCATGTGAGGAAATCACCAAAGGCTCACCATTAAAAACACAGAAAGGCCAGCACAGTGGTGCACGCCTGTAAGCCCAGCACTTTGGGAGACTAAGGCGGTTGGATCACGAGCTCAGGAAATCGAGACCATGCTGGTTAATATCGTGAAACCCCATCTCTACTAAAAATACAAAAATTATCCAGGTGTGGTGGCACGCGCCTGTAGTCCCAGCTGTGCAGGAGGCTGAGGCAGGAGAATTGCTTGAACCCAAGAGGTGGAGGCTGTGGCGAGCCAAGATTGCACCACTGCACTCCAGCCTGGGCGCCAGAGTGATAGTCCATCTCAAAAAAAAAAAAAAAACAAAAACCACCCACACACACACACACACACACACACACACAGAGGAAATGGCAAAGCACATATACAGCAGCCTAGATGCATCCTAGGGGCTTGTGACTTACATGAGAACTCTAACAATGAGAAGAAAAGGGGGTAAAGAACATGAAAGAACAGAGTTAAGTAAAGCTGGTCAACCCTAAATTACAGGTTCTTGTGATGCTATGGGACTTAACACCCAGCCTTGGGCCCCCTGGCACAGGCAGACCCAGAAGCTTGAGGAAAACCCAAAGAGTAAGCCAGTCTGGAAAGAGAAAATTTCCCTGGATCATCCACATATAGATAACTGAGACATCCTTATGTAACAATTATCTTTCCTTCTCAGAGATTAAAAAATAAGGGAAGTGACCGGGCATGGTGGCTCACACCTGTAATCCCAGCACTTTGGGAGGTCAATGCGGGTAGGAGTTGGAGACCAGCCTGCCCAACATAGTGAAACCCTATCTCTACTAAAAATACAAAAATCAGCCAGGTGTGGTGGCAGGTGCCTGTAGTCCCAGCTGCTTGGGAGGCTGGGGTAGGAGAATGGCTTGAACCAGGAAGGTGGAGGTTGCAGTGAGCTGAGATCATGTCACTGCACTCCAGCCTGGGCAACAGAGAGACTCCATCTCAAAAAAAAAAAAAAAAAAAAAAAAGCAAGTAAAACCCAAAGGACTCTGCTTCTGCACTTTTTAAGTGAAAAATGTAGCGATTACACACGAAGGCCTCATCCTTCAGCAAACACCTGCTGAGCTCCCACCATGCGCCAGGCACCTGCTTAAGTGCGAGGCAGTCAGACTCGGCAGTAGACACCACACCATCCTCATGGGGCTTGGTGTCTGCCCAGGTGGAGTGGGGAAAATCAAGGGACAATCTGCTTCCGAAGTGGCCACCAAGTACTGTTTCTCCAGCTCTGGCAGCAAAGAGGACAGGCCTTGGAACAGAGGACACTGGTTTCATTTGGCATCAGAGAAAGATCCTTAGCTCTAAAAACTTCCCAATTGTTTACCCCTTTAAAAAAGACCCTCCTGGGCCAGGCGTGGTGACTCATGCCTGTAATCCCAGCACTTTGGGAGGCCAAGGCAGGTGGATCACAAGGTCAGGAGTGCAAGACCAGACTGGCCAACATGGTGAAATCCGTCTCTACTAAAAATTACAAAAATTAGCTGGGCATGGTGGCTCATGCCTGTAATCCCAGCTGCTTGGGAGGCTGAGGTAGGAGAATTGCTTGAACCGGGACCAGGGAGGCAGAGGTTGCAGTGAGCCGAGGTAGTGCCACTGCACTCCAGCCTGGGCTACAGAGCAAGACTCCATCTGAAAAAAAAAAAAA